TAGAAGACAAGAGAGAGAGAGAGAGAGAGAGAGAGAGAGAGAGAGAGAGAGAGAGAGAGAGAGAGAAAGACTTATATCATGTTCAAAGTGACACTGGCAAGCCCCAGGCTGTCTGTTGAAGGAGTCCTCTACAAAAGCAAATCCAACATAAATCAGAAGGCTATGACCTACTTGCTATCCTGGTCCATTGTCAGTCCAGACCCTTGCTCGACTAGTTTGGTTAAGTTCACGATCTCCTCTTTCAGGGCAAGAATCGTCTCCTTCGCCTTCTGCTCTTTATCGTAGGCTGCGTCCACCATCTTCCAGGCCTTTTCAATTTCCTAGATGGGCCACAGGACATCAGTGAGAAAAATCAAACTGGGTTCCAGATGCAAGGTGAACTGGGTAAACAGAATCATAAAACCACTACAATCCAGTAGTCATTTATGGGGAAAGATTATATAGTATACTTTGTGCTTTAAATTTGCATTGAGTTACTGAATTATTCAACATGAGTTAAATCCATGCTGAACACCGGTTTTTAAGGGGGTATTGGAAAAGGGTATTTTTTTTCTTGTGTTGGCGAGTGTGGATACAAAACTCACATACTGCAAGGGTGGCTATAATAGGAGGATGTTTCTAATAAAAACGTTAAGATACGAAAGCTAATGGGCTTTCCAAGTCCAGATTTTTTTTAAATAAGCTTTATCACATAAGGAATGATCTTGGATCTAAGCCCTAAATTTGAAGCTCTTCATAGATTCTGAATTAAAAAAAATATATTTTATCCTTAGGTCCCAAGTGAACTCCTAATGGCCATGTGAGCTTTAGAACAAGTCGTAGCAAAGTGGTCTGAGCTGTGATCTAATTGTACACACAGTCTTGGTAATTCCCATTTCCAGGAACTCAAGCCCAGGCCTTTCCATCAAATGCTTATAGAGAAAGAACAAAACCCACAGCAGGGAATGGGAACAATGACTCATGTCGCTTTGGCCTCCTTACTATTATGAAATGCATGGTTGAATATTAACATAAATACTTAAAAGTGAATTACAGCCTTCAAATAAATAAAAAAAGCACAGTAAATATTGCAACAGTCTTGATTTTTACCCTGCCACTTAATTTTCTTACAAAATTTCATCCAGTGGCATGTGAGTCCTTTATATAGCTAAGAACCTATTGGCTTAAGGTAAAAAATATTCCACTTTCATGTTGAGAAGGAATAAAATGATTGGTAGAAAGTATTTTATTTAATTTAATAAATTCATGCTATTACAACAGAAAGAGATGGCCCTCGGGTTACAATTCAGTGATTTAAAACTGTCAGTTTATTGAGACATGTTTTTCTATAGCAACTGTATGTACTATTTTTAGCAAAACAAATGAAGAATATTCAAATGAAAATATGATATGAAGATTTGTCCAAATCAACTTCACTAATTAGATTTTAAGCAATTCATGACTTCCATTTCCAGTTTTTAAATTTACAATAAAAAGTATGTGTGTTTTCATTAAAAAATGAATTGGAGCCTTCTTTATGTTGATTTTTCAGGAAAGAGAAGGAAATGACAATAGGGAGAAAATAACACTTCAAAAAAAGTTGTTTCTAAGAAAACATGTCATATTTTGCACGAGTCTTGGAAATTTATTTGAAGTGGCTGACATTTAATTGCATGACATCAAAGGAATTTCTTAAAAGTCTGTGAATTTTTTCTCATCACTAGGGTTTTAATTATGAATTAAGATGTCTTAACCTCTTATCACCCTGAAATCAACATGGAACATTTATGTTTTACCTTCAAAATAATGCAACATGCTTCAGGATAGAAAAGGAAGTGTAAGACTAAGCCAGACCAAATCCCTGTTCTCCCATTATGAGGAACTGGGAGGATCAAGGCAGAAGCAAAGAGATGCTACGAAAAAATACAAATATTACTATTTGGGTATTTTCAAGCTAATATTTCCTAAATGAGTAAGAAACAAAAAAAGTAGAAATATGAAAATATCTTTATCATCATGAGATATTTACTTACTACTCATCTTGTATCAAACAAGACACAGACATGCTAAGATTCCTAATATTGCTCTTACTTATCTCTAACTGGAGGCCCGGTGCATAAAATTCGTTTACTGGGGGAGGGGGAGGGTCCCTCAGCCCAGCCTGCACCCTCTTGCAGTCTGGGACTGCTCACTCCTTACTGCCTGCCTGCTCACTGCTCCTTAGTGCTTGGCTTGCTGCCCCTTAGTGCTGCCATGGAGGTGGGAGAGGCTCCCGCCACCACCACTGCGCTCGCCAGCCATGAGCCTGGCTTCTGGCTGAGCGACGCTCCCCCTGTGGTAGTGCACTAACCAGGGGCAGCTTCTGCATTGAGCATCTGCCCCCCAGTGGTTAGTGTGCATCATATCAACCAGTCGACCTGGTCATTCCACCGTAATGGTCACTTAGGCTTTTATTATATAGATTCTTTGGGCTAGCCCATTATTCCTTCGAAACCCAGCCAGTGAAGTTTTACATTATTTTCTGAATAGTAAAACTCATCCAGCCTAATTATTTTCTTTGAAAATGAACATTATCCCCTAAGCCAAATGAATACATAAATCATGTAAATTTTACCTTAATAACTCATTTACTACCAGCCCAGAGCTGTCAATATGATGAAAAGATGATGTTTTAAATAAAGAATGCATTTACATACAGGACACTGCTCTCCACTGATTTCGTTTCTAGACGATCACTGACCTTTTTCAAGGATGCAATGGTGGTCTGGTCATCCTGAGAGAGCTTCAGGGCAGTGGCGACCTTCGCGGAATTCACCACAATCTCCGCGTTCAGTTCTCTGCATTTGGCCATCAGACGCTTTTCATTTTCATAAGACTTTTTCATGATAGCATGAAGCTTCTCATATTCAAGCCTAAATTTCTCCAGACTTTTGTCGCCTAAAAGTTCATTGAGAACCTCCTGAAAATCCCGTACACAAAACACAGAGGTTTATTCCTGTATTATTACTTACTGATTATTGTAGTATTTATTTGTATAACAATTGTTAACCTACTTTTGCCCAACCCCCCTGTATATAATATTTCCTACTCTATGGTGTTGTTATGGATTGGATTAAATAGGATAATCCATGTTCAACACTTAGCCAACAGTAGGCAAGCAACAAATTTTTTATAGCTATTACAATGAATTTTTATAGCTTGTCCAAACTCTGATCTGTTTTCATTTCACCCTATTTCTTACTGCACCCAGGACTGCAGAGGGAGTCCACAGCATGTTGGGGTCAGACATAGGGAGATTTTGGTATAAATACCATGAAATCACACATACTCACAGTGAAACGCATCAGAAATATGCAATAGTCTCCTACAAGATATTCCCTCATCTTTATCCCTTAAGAAAATTAGGTCATCTCCACAAGTATACTGAAATGCTCCCTGTGCAATGCTCAGGGGCCTTTTCCACATTTGCTTTCCATGATTATCTGGACAACAAGTTCTTAAAACTATCAGCCCAGATACACAAATGTAATTCAAGCAAGTCTGGCTATGACTTAGGTGAGAACCCAGGAGTTAGTTATATAGGATTTCTTATTTCCCTAGTGCAATGGTCAGCAAACTGTGGCTCGCGAGCCACATGCGGCTCTTTGGCCCCTTGAGTGTGGCTCTTCCACAAAATACCAACTTCTAAACATGGGCCACGAAGTTTCAATCGCACTGTACGTGCGTGCCTGCACATGGTATTTTGTGGAAGAGTCACACTCAAGGGGCCAAAGAGCTGCATGTGGCTCGTGAGCCGCAGTTTGCGAACCACTGCCCTAGTGTATGGGTTGAATTGTGTCCCCGCTCCCCCACAAAGTTATGTTGAAGCTCTAATCCCAGTACTTATTAATGTACCCTTACCTGGAAATAGGTCATTGCATATATAATTAGTTAGGCTGAGATTATACTGGAGGAGGGAGTGTCCTAACCCAGGAGTCCTTATACTAGTCAAAGGAGGGTGAGTAGATTATAACTTTGTGGGGTAATGGATGTCAACCAAACTTACTGTGGTAAGCATTTTGCAGTATATACATATAGCAAATCATTATATTGTATACCTAAAACAAATATAATGTTACCTGTCAATTATATCTCAATAAAAACCAGTGGAGGGGTGTGGATTTGGACACAGACACACAGGAAAATGCCATGTGAAGACAGAGGCATAGATTAGACTAATGCAGCTCCAATTCTACATATTTTTGGTTTTCAAAAACATTTGTACCCTTGATTAAATTTCTAAAGATGGCATGCAAGCAAAACTGAGCCCACATCTTAAAATAGATGTCTGAGTAAGGAGCATATCTATAACGTTTCATGTAACAATGTTAGTACTGATGTTAAATTCAACAGAAGTTTTCTTCCTGACTAAAAGCAGATTATTGCAAAGATCACAATTCAGCCATCCCACAAAGGAGGAAAAAAACATATTAAGGAAATATGGAGCCGCTGCTACTCTACGCTTTCCCCTTGTTGATGCTAAACATGAGCACACACAAAAATTCATCATGGCAATGTTCTCAGCTCCATCCCTGTAAATGGTATTAACGTCAACACTTGATCACCAGCCTAATGATTTGTTGGCAGACCAGGTTTTCCCTGTACACCTGGCCCTTAGCACAGGAGTAGGAAAATATCAGAGAAAGAAAAGTTTTAAAGAAACTTTGATGAACAAAAGAAATGTGTTCATATTTCTATTTTTAAAATATACTATAAAAAGAAAAGCAAAAATGCTGTGACCAACAACCAGTTGGTATCCACACTGTTATAGCATATAAAGCTATCTATTTTGGAAGCATGGTTTCAACAGTAACTAATCAGAGAGAAACTGTGTTGCTCCTTCATTCAACACCTATTGAGTGTTTACTATCTGCCAGGCACTGTTCTAGGTGCTGGGAATACCAAGTAGTGGGGAGAAGGAAAAGGGA